ACAAGCTTCTCTCTCTCTCTCTCTCTCTCTCTCTCTCTCTCTCTCTCTCTCTCTCTCTCTCTCTCCGCGCGCAAAGGCGCTTCTGACAGCCAAGAAAGTGGCGCGGCCAAGAAAGTGGCACGGCCAAGAAAATGGAAAAATAAGGAAGCCACTCACCAAGGTCTCGCTGCACTACCGTGGTCTCCGAGACAAAAAAGAAAGGGGTTGTATTTGTCCACGTTCTAGCGGAAGATTCATTCACAATTTGCACATTTTCTGAGGAGTGGAGAAAGGGCCCAAGTAGGGGAAAGGAATGAAACTCAACCCAGAACATGGAAAGGTACGTTGCTACATTACTTTTACCTTTTTGCCAAGGCTCTGAGGCCCCCAGCCGTGGTCCAGAACTGAGCCTACTCAGTCTGGACCCGACCCCCTTCTGCAGGCAAAGTTGGTCTCGTTCACTCGGACATAACGTATATGCGTTGTAAATGTATGCGACGCAGGGTATACGTTGTATTCGTTTGCAACGCATAGGCGTTATGTTCGGGGGAAGATGGTAGTGGCCTGCAGCTTGGGTTGTTCATTAAAAAAAAAAAAAAAAAAGGCTCCTCTCCACCATTTGCCATTCTGATTTCTTTTTTTTTTTTCAATAAAACAACCCGAGCTGATGCTACGGGTGTTGGTACCCGTGGAGGCTTCGTCTATTGGCATGGAGCATCACCTGCTGGAAAGCAGGTCCAGCGCCCCTCTGACACATTGTAGATTGTTTGATTGATCAGACATGTGAATGTGATGACAGCCAGCTACAAGGTATGAGATTTGGCAGGTGGCACTACACAGTAGCCCGAGTTGCTTGCCTATATGACAGCCTATAATAAGCCTAGATTAAGTGATGGTATACACAGATCACATGGCTGCTGCAAGGGGAATTGGACCCAGATTCTAAAAGGTACAAAGTAGTGTTCTGCTTCCCCTGATTCCTCCCGCGAACAGCCCTTTGTAGACGAGGTTGTTCGCTTGAACAGGCATGTAATTGAATTCACCGCAAGGGGCTGGGGCCCCCTACGAATGATGATATTCGGCAGGTAAAGGTATCCAGCAGCCTGAGGTGCTTGCCTACATGACAGCCTAATGTGAGTGATAATATACACCAATCCCCTAGCTTCTTCTCAGAGTGGAAACAGCTTGGCTACGCTGCTTCACCCCATTCTCCGAGCTAGCTCACACGCCCTCGTTGTCACAGTCTTGGGGAGCCCAAGCTGTTCTGTCACCTATAATTCATTTTCTTTTTCTGTTTTTTTTCCGGTAAAATTCTTACCTTCCTGTTCAAGTAGGCAAGCTAGCCTCCCGTTCCCCGGCCTCCACCCTTGCTGGAAAGGGAGCCCAGCGTCCCTGGACGTCCATTCTGAAATTTGTCAAAAGTGGTTAGCGGGGACCCCTACTTTTCAGGCCCAGGTTTTTTTTTTTTTTTTTTTTTTTTAACGCTCCATCTATTGGTGGGGAGCAGCACCTGCTGAAAACCGGGTCCAGCGTCCCATATGATCACAAAAAAACATTTGGTAGAGAAACAATGAATGTTGACATTTGCTTTGTCTTGGGGTGGGGTCGCAGCCTCTTCACCCGTTACCGGGCGCCAGAAAGAAACATTCCACGGAATCAATGAAAAACAGTCCAGAGGCTGTACAGGAATTCTTCCTGATCCAGCCTGTGTCACCAACAGTCTTCACTGTGCTCAGTCTGTTCGAACAAGATAAACGCAAAATGGATGGGTGCAAAAAGCTGCAGTGGGATCGTTCTGGTGTCCGCATTTATCCATGGCTGCCGAAGAAGATAAGGCCCGAGGAGAAAAAGATCAATTGATGAGGGACTATTACTGGGTAGAACTGAGACACATACCTGTAGAGGTACAGGCGGCTTTTATTCACGATTTCGGCCAGCAGTACAAGATTGTAGACTTCATAGATCCACCACCGACGTATGTGGCCAAAAGGGATGAATATATGATGATGGCACTAGACCTCCCTAAAGATCAGCCTTTCTCCTTAGACGATATCATCCCATTCAAGATGGGAGGAAGGCTGTACCGAATCCATACAGCACACAAGTTCAGACCTTGGTGCTACAAATGCAAGGCCTATGGCCACCTCTACACTGAGCTGGCATGTCCACAACACCCCAAACAGACAGAAGGTATCGATGGCTTGCTGAAAATGGACCCCCTGAGGCCAAACAGATGGTTGCGCAGTGTCCCAGGCTATGAGGGATAGGTGTATGTGGAAGATCTCACACCGGGTGGCCAACCAAGTGGATGGATTTGGGAGGGAAGGGGGATCGCCGTCGGTCATCAAGACCTCCGGTAGAGTGGAAACCTCCAATGCAGCATCCCCCCTGAGGCAACTCCCGCTCACACCAGCCTCTCAAAGTCAAACCCCCATCTCCCCCAGGGGAGAAAGGAGGAGAGGAAGGAGTTGGAAACAAAAACAAGCATTCAAATGAACCAGCGAAGACAAAACAGCAAGGAGGTCGTTTTGGACCAAATGCAGTTCAATATATCCCAACCGGCAATCGGTTTAGTCCCTTGAGCAAAGGAGTGGGAGAGGAGGGGTGGGGGGAAATGACCAGAGAGAGCAACAGCCAATAAGACCAGACCCGCAGGCTCAAATGACTCTTGGGAACAAAAATGCTAAAGAAAAGAACAAGGGGCCAGATTCAGATGCCTCCTCGAGGGGTTCGAGAAGTGAACCAGATCCGGAACCAATGGACATGGACCCGCTGAAGGGCGCATTCGGTGCACAACCCATGGAACTGGATCCAGTCTCAGGAGCCCCCCCCACCAAGGAATTCCAATGCAGATTCGGCACAAACACAAGCTGAGAATTAAGTCTCAGACCTCCAAAATGTTGCAGAATGGCTGCTTGAAAATCTTAGACTGAAGTTTCATAGCCGTTCGGAAGAATTTTGGGACAACACGTATACATAGCTGGTCCCTCTCTTAGAGACCCGCCCAAGCCTCCAAACGGCACAGGAAAGAGGTCTGCCAGAGAGGGTGAGCTGGCAGCAGATGTGTCATCGGTTGTTACCAATCGTGGCCATGCGTTTCCAGCCCCCTCTGGATCATCATCCAACAGGTTCAGACAACCAATCGCCGTTGTGCCAAAGGGGGGAAGGTGGAGAAAGTGCTCAAATGGTAACAATGAGAAGTACACAACATAACTTAGAGCAAATGGATGTGGACAACAACCCAACTCACCTGAAGGAAGTGACTCCCAGGCCAACAGCGGCACAAATAGGAGGAGAAAAAAAAAAAACTCTCAAACCCAAAGAGCTCAGATAAAACTCTTAGTAGCAACAAGGGATTGAGGACCGAGAACTCCGTTGTTTTTAAAGGTCAGAGAGCGGTAAATGAAGGGATAAAATTTTTGAAAAACTTTTTATCCTCCACGGAGCGTGGAACAGATATTTTAAAGGATAAAATTGTAATAACACAGGTCAGGGTAAATCAGCGGATAACAGAACACTCCACAACTCTAACAGCTACAAAACAACTAAGTCCACCAAACCCTCTACAAAGATTGATTGCATCCACAGATACTCAGGGGGGACTTACAACGCTGGCTATTGAGATGCAAGGACGATAAAAGGCAGTTGAAACACAACAGTCGGAAAGAGGGTGAGGAGGGAGAAATGCAGGGAGATCAAGAAACAACATGGGCTGCGGGGTGCCGAGATCAGAAAAGGGGGCTGGAACAGAACAATGGGATACCTGGCGGTGGGGAAAAACCGGTGGAAATGATGGAAATGATGGAAGGGAAGGGTCTGCAAGTGGACTTAACAACAGAAGAGGGGGAGAGAGAAGTAGGAAAGGATGAGGGGAGGGGAGAAGAGTCACAAAAAAAGGAAAGTATTTGTATTGAAGCCAAAGGACGCTGGACCTGGTTTCCAGCAAGTGAGTCTTTCAGATTACGGTGAGATGTTGGACCTTTGGTACTTTTGAAGTTCCATGGGAAGCTGGACCGGTTTTCCACAAGTGTATTATTGTCATTTGAAAAGGGACGCTCTCCCCGGTTTCCAGCAGGTGCAGCTCCCCACCAATAGACCGGAGCAATTTCTTAAAAAAAAAAAAAAAAAAAAAAAAAAAGGTTAAGTGGATCCCTATCGAGGAGAATGAACCACCATGTGGCCCAGTAGAAGCCACGATACCCTACAAGCTCCAAGAAATAGTCTCAGAGCTTACGGGGGAACGTAAGTACATGATTCTTTCCCAATCTAAAAAAAAACAGCAAATGACTGTGTCTGACAAATTGGAGCAAGAGAATGGGACAAATGAAGATAAGGATGAAATAAATGGAAGTGAGTATATAGTTGTTTCTGCACAACATCTTGAGGACGCTACCATTCTGGAAAAAAAAAAAATAATATAAATAATTTTGGGGCGGAGGGTCTGCAAGGTGGGCAAGCTACAACAGTACAGCCAGTTACTCTATTAACAGAGTGTGAAAACCAATCAGAAAAGAACAATGAGGGCCCAACAAGCAAAAATGTGAATTCTGACGAGGGAGAGGAACCTCCGAGTACGTATTTACAGAGGATAGGGCAGCGAAAATTGCACCAGCTTCCTCTAGTCCCACTCGAAGGAACATTGATAAGCAAGAGACAGAAGTTACGCCTTCTATTAGCAGAAGGGTATCCGGAGCTAACATTATCTAAGAGAGGGATACTAATTCTACCAATGAGACTGAAAGAGGGGGTATGGGAGGTGGGATTGTCAGAGCCAGAGGGATCTTCACATGGAGAAGTATCAGTGCATGGGACTCCAGCGGGTGTGCTACCATCACTGCTAGGAAGAATGACAGGGGAAGGGCGTTTCAAAACTGAGATTGTAAAAGTTATTCACGAACAGCTCCCACCAGGGGGATCCGCTGTGCTTATCCTTTCCACTGATGCGTGCAGAGTGTCGACCACATATGTGTTCCTCAGATATGAACACTCACGTGCAGTCCACTTGCGCTGGTTCTCTCAATCGATGCTGGCTGAGCTCCAACAACTGAAGGTCAAGGCAGGGAGTTTCTGGTCGGAGGTTGACGTCAAGATTTTACTCTCCCGCATCCTAAAAAATGGACATGCTATTAGAACAGGGGGGTAAATTAGATTTTGACCACTGATTGCCTCTTTAATCATAAATAAATTGTACAAAAGGAAGCAGGTTATAGATAGCAGAAAAGGTGACCATGACAACTTTGAATGTATTGGATGTGTTGTACAATAGGGATAACGAAGTGGAAACTGCTAAAGAGAACAACAGATCCAGACTTGCGGTCACTCAATGTACATGGCTTGGCTTCGGCCAAGCAACAAAAAAGACAGGCAATCTACGATCAAATCAAAGGTGTGGGAGGTATACAGTGGTCTGATGCTATCTGTATACAAGAAACATATCTAATGGATAATGCTGACCTTCATCATATACATAAACAGATATGGCCCCATTAAGCCTTCAGGGTCCACGCTCCCAGTCCAGGTAGAGCAGGGGTAGCTATCTGGCTTCCCCCGGACTCTAGGATTGAACCTCTTTGCTGGAAGGTTGACAAAAAGATGAGGGGAGATGGATATACCTCTTGGCAATGTCGGAGATAAATGTGATAACAATATTGAATGTATATGGACCAAATGATCATAGCGAAAGAAGACGCTTCTTTGAATCAATTAAAGAACACCTCCCGGTCGGTATCCAAAAAAGCACTGCCTCTGGTCCATCCTTCATGGATTCCAGACGTTTACATATCCACTTGATCTTGTCGTTTATTGATCTG